GAATATGGATAGGCTGGCTGTGGTGGCTCACACCTGTAATCCTAGCACTCTGGGAGGCCGAGGCGGGAGGATCACTCGAGGTCAGGAGTTCGAGACTAGCCTGAGCAAGAGTGAGACCCTGTCTCTACTAAAAATAGAAAAAAAAAAATTAGCTGGGTGTCGTGGTGTGCGCCTGTAGTCCCAGCTAGTCGGGAGGCTGAGGCAGGAGGATTGCTTGAGCCCAGGAGTTTAAGGTTGCTGTGAGCTAGGCTGACGCCACGGCACTCTACTCAGGGCAACGGAGTGAGACTGTCTCAAAAAAAAAAAAAGAATATGGCTAAAAGCTCTTAATGAAAACTTAGTCCCCTGCCCTAGCCTTTCTACCTATACTCTCCAGAGGCAATTATTTTCAACTATTTTCTTTTGATATTTGCCTTCCTACTTCTAAAGGAACTGTTTATATGCTGTATGTTGATGTATCCATTTTCGGTTTTATATATTGCCTTCCTGTTATGACAGCTGAGAATTTAGCTTTCTTACACCACACACTTCCCATCCTTCACCTTAATTTTTCCAGTATAGCTATATCACAATTTTAGGTTTGAGGTAGGCAGAATTCTAAGAATGACACTCAGTGGACCTCACTTGTGTATAATCCCCTCTCCTTTGACTGTGGGTAGAACCTCTGAATAAGGTCAGATAGCACTCTGTGATTGTTAATTTATGTGGAAAAAAGGAGATTACTTGGTGGCCTTAATCTAATCACACAAACTGTAAAAGCAGAGAGTTTTCTCCAGATAGCAGCAGAAGAGAGATTCAGAGATTGGAGGCATGAGTATGATTTGACACATCACTGCTGGCTTTGAAGATGGAGGGGGCCACAAGGCAAGGAATACAGGTAGCCTTTAGGAGCTGAAAGTGGCCCCTCACTGACAGCCAGCAAGGCCTCAGTCCTATAACCACAAGGAACTAAATTCTGCCAACAACCTGAACGCCACTGGAAGTGGATTCTTCTCTACAGTCTCCAGATAAGACCCCAGCCCAGCCAAGACCTTG